TACTCTCTGCAATCAGTGCTGTACATGACCCTGCTTCCCGAGCTGAGGTTGTGCTGTAATGTGCCATTGCTGAGGTAGAACATGACTGTTGCTGTTCTGGGGAATTTCTAATAGAGATTTACTTATCCCAAGCCTCCCATTTCTCTGTTTCGTGACATTTTGCAAAGTTCAGGTTTACAAAATAAGCCAGTACAAAAGAGATGCTCCGGATGTTATTTACACTGCACGTGCTATTTTCTGCTCTGCAGAGCCTTTGTCCCAAACCTGCGCTCAGGCCTCCCGTTCCTTGCGGTGCACAGAGCCCGGGGCAGGCACCAGCCTCGGACCATGCAGCAGTCGGAGCTGCCTGTGTGCGGAGGGTGAGCATCCCTCCTGGGCTGGTCCCCTCTGCCCAGATGCAGGGGGTACCACGCCGCCCTGATGCAAGACCATCGGCGCTGGAGCTCTTTGGTCCTTGCATGCCTCTGTTTGCCTGGATGGAGGGGAGCGCTTTGTAGCGGTGTTGATTGAAATGCACATGGAGTCGTGCGGCTCAACCTGCCTCTAATCCCATCTCCGGTTCCAGCATGAAGGACGCATTTGTAGTGGGAGCTCGAGGGAGCGGGAGAGGCAGCGCGTTTGACCTGCTGCCCTGCAGGACGCAGCTCGGACTGTCGGGGGAAGGAAGGTAGGGCTGCTGCTGCTGTTTCAAGGGTGTAATTTGGGGTGCTCAGCTGCTCTGCTTTTAAACAGAAATGTGAGCTAAAAGCTGGTGTGGCTGCAGCTCTGCCTGCACAGCACAGAGCAGTGGCTGCAGGGGGCAGGCGGGCTGCTAGCAGAATCCAGTTAGTGCCTGACAGTCTCCCTGGATCTCTGCTACAGGCAGAAAAGCCCATTTTAATAAAAAGCTCATGGAGGAAGCTGCCTGCTCCGGAATGATGAGGGAGCACGTGTGTGCCCAAATACTGGCCTGGGGACCAGGAACGGAGGGAGCAAAGCAGCCAAGGTGGGGGGCTCTGGAGTTTTGTGCCCTGGAGCTTTTACCCCTTTGGGTGCTGAGATGCAAGGTCAAGATGTGGCACCTGGTGCCTTTCCAACCTGCTGTGCAGCTCCCTGTGTTAAGCCCCACACCAAACCCCTGCAGACTTTGGAGACGGAGCCAACCACAGAGTTGTGCACCCAGGGAGAGTGCTCAAGCTGGGCATCACGGCAGGTTTGGTCCCCCTCACCCCGAGTGGCGTGGGGCAGTGGCTGTCTGGGGCAGCCCAGACAGTGGCTGAAAATGAGACCCTCTTCTCTGCTTTCTGAGGATGGAAGCTCTCCAGGGGAGACCTCGCCTTACCCAGGGCTACAGCATGGGCGGCTCACTCCTTTTGGGGAAAATCTTGCTTGCAACCACGCACGTGCCCTTCTTGTGATACCAGCTTGGCTGCAGATCCTCGCTGCATCCATCTCTGCTACCAGCTGTGCAAAGGCTGATGTGTCCTTCTGGGGATATGGCTGCTCGTCCCTCCGCAAGGGTGGTGATGGATGGAGGGGACAGCACTCATCAAAGGCAAGGAAGGTTGCAGGAGGCCCACAGGTGACTTGCTCTGCTGCAACAGGAGGCTCTGCGTCACTGGATTTAGCCATTTGGCACAGAGGTAGCTCAGGTTTCTCTGCTCTCGTCACCACCTCAGCCTTCAGAAGTGGCTGAGGGAACACAGGAGTTGGGCTTATTGACCCAGCTCTGGCCCGAAGACCGCGGGATAATGCCGTTCCCGGCCCTGCAGGCCATGGGGAAAAGTAAGCAGGTCCCAGCTGCCCAGAGGGATCCTTTCCCAGCTCCCCCTCACTGTGCATGATGGAGAGCCACCGCTGATGCTCCAGATCCACCCGCGCGCCCAAGCGCCCCTTCAAACTCCTGCTAAGCTCTGCGCGGGCCGCGCTCCTCGCTTTGAAGCGTGGCCGAGGGGAGGAAAGCAGGATTTCACCACTCTCGCACACCTCGCTTCTGCCTCAGTGCCTGCGTTGTCAAGTCTGATCAGAAGGAGGATCAGTCGGCCCTGCTCGCTCTCTCCAGATTTAATTAACAGGCCTTTCATCTCTACCCTGAAGGAATCTGCTATCTTCTGTCTTCTTAATTAACGTTCATTAAGCAAATCAGAAGAACGTTTTCTCCTCGCCGCCTGCAAGGTTCTTAACCCTTGCGAGGTGCCAGGTTTGTGTCACCCCATGCCAGGGTGGCGAAGGCTCCCGGCTCTCCAGGGCTGAAACCCTTGTGCTGCGTCTCCTCTGCCCTTGCACCGAAGTCTCGGGGCAGGGGTCCTAGAGGGGCTGCGGGTGAATCCCCCCTTCGATCGCTCTTTTGAACTTCCTTGATCAAGATCTGTGCCCTGGAGAGGCAAGGGCATTTCCTGTAGCTGGCCCTGGGTCTCTGTCCAGGGATGGCAGTTGCCTATAGCAAGGCCGGGTGGCTGTACTTGAAGGCTTCATAGTGAGAAGTCACTGGCCAAACCTGGAAGGCGCCTGAAATGAAGGGAAGCTGTCCCCAGCTGTCTTTTTTTTGCAGAAAAGGAGATGATTGGGGGCTGCTCCACCCCTTCTCTTGTGGGCTGAAGTTAGCTGTGATGTTCTGTTCTTTCTTGTCCTTGGTGGAGGCTCGCAGGGGATGGCTGGGACCAAAACGGGCCTTTGGGAGTAGCTGCTGCTAGGCACAGCGTCCAGTCACCACCAATTTCGGCCAAGGTCTGGCTGTGTTTGCTGTCCCCTCATGTCAGGATGGGCTTTGCCAAAGGAGGACATGGGACAATTATGTCTCCCAACCTTGGTAGTAGCTCATCTCTTGCTTCTGAGTAATGTGGGTCCTGCTGAGTCTGCCAGCAGCCCTGGTGGGTCTCATAGACCAGGATGAGGCAGGTATTGGGCAATGGGTGGTGTTTTTGGACAAAGGAAAATGACTCTTGAGTGATATCCTACAGAGTATCCAGACAGAAGCAGAGTTGTGCTGACTTTGCTCAGATCAGCACCCACAAGCAGCCACGCAGCCTGGGTTGCATGGTCTCATCGCCTCTTCCCCTCTGAGCTGGACCCCTCTTTGGAGAGGGAATGGATGGGGCTGGGATATTGGCTGCCTGGTGTGTGCAACATCTAGAAATCCCCCCTAGAAGGTGGCAAACCCATAAAGCACAGGAGACCCTTTCCAGACAGGTGCTTGCAGCCTCAGTAGCAAGGGAAAAGCAAAATACTGAGTCCAAGAGCCTCGTTGGGGCAGGATGCAACCCCCCTTTTAAAGTCAGTAGCAGTGATGTTCAGGGCAATTATTTAACTGAAAGCCTTCCTCTCTTCCCCCAAAATGTGACAGTGGGTTTGCCAGCAGCCGCTTGCTCCCAGGCAGCTGATACATCGCTCCTCAGTGCTGGGAAATTCGCCCTTCCCAGCGGAGCTGGCTCCGGCTGTCAGAGCCTGGGTCAATATATGTTAATGGGGCTTTGAAACGGCAGTGCCGCGGGAGCCGCTGCCCGAGAGCTCTGATTCACAGCTACCCGCCGGAGCTTTTTCCCCCGCAGTGTGCACAGACAGAGAATAAAATAAATAATAGTAGAAGGGAAGAGGAGGAGGGGAGCTTCAATTATACATGAGGGCTAAGTTTCCGGCGTGTTGCTGTGGGCAGCTGGCATAGCCACGCTTTGCTGGGCGCACCAGTTGCCCCCAGCAGAGTGGGAGGGCGAGGGACAGCCCCAGGGACCCAGCGCCTTCCCGGCTGGCCCGTCGTGTCTGTTCGCTGCCAGGCTTCCTGGGGCAACCTGAACCTGCTGGGAAAAGCTGACTGTCAAATTACCCTAGAGACAACTGAGGTGGGCTGTTGTAAAAGGTGTCAACTTTCCGGTTTTCCAGAGGAGTGGGGGTGTTCTTGGGTGCAGTGTGAAGAACGGTGTCAGGCTTCTGGGGTGAAGGCTCCTTCCTGGCCCCGGGTTGCTCCATGGCATGCCGGGGTTGGTAGCCTGGCAGTGGGACCGTCCCCATGCAAGTGCAGCGCTGGTGCCCCTGCTCTGACCATTGTGTGCTGGGTGGCAGGCAGGTTTTGGGGCAGTGTCAGTTCCTCCGAAGCTTGATGCCCTTTTGAAGCTTGTTGCTTTTGTCCTGCTGTGGGTCAATCCTGGGCTGGTGCAGAGGGTGCCAGGGTGATATCCTGACTCTATGCGCAATTAGTGTCACCCTGCAAGCCACTAACGGGGTTTGGTGATGCTCTGGTCATATCACCTGCTGGAGATGCCTCCGTGGGGTCTTCCCTTCATCTCCACCGAGGTGCCCAGGCTAGGTGGCCTGTGGCTGGCCCCATGGCAGCAGGTGGGGGTGAGACCACCACAGGTGGGTGACAATGTGGAGGTGTTGGGGGGGTTGCAGACCCGTGGTTCAGCTGGGTTGGTGCAAGCCAGGGAGCGGGGGGGTCCCTGTGGGTCAGCACAGCAGGGAGAAGAGGGTGCTTAGGTTGTGGTGGGTCTGGTTCAAAGCCTCCCCCCACCCTGATTTTGGCACTGTGAGATGGCTAGTGAGCCGCGCTGATTTAAGGAAAAGCCCGGGCATTGGATGTGAATTGTTACAGGCTCTTCCCCAGGGCTGGGAAACTGTGGTGCGTGGTTCTGTGGGTGCTGCTGAAGGCGCCAAACCCCCTGTCTCCCAAGCTGCGGGGCTGGGATGTGTCCAGCTGGGGGGTGCCCAGCCCCACGTCCCTGGAGGGATGCCCCAGGCGTGCAGTAGGCGCAAACCGTGCAGCCCGGGATTGCAAACGATGCTTTTCGGACATTTCCAGCAGCTTCCACAAGATGGACCTCAGAGCGAGAGGAGGTGCCGGGCGGGGGGGGGACCATCCTATCCCGTCCCAACCCCTCCCCTCCACCC